TCTCTGTCCCTTGCTTCTGTTTTATAATTTTATTTTATTCATTATACTTTTTGTGTTTCTAGAATGCGCAGAGGGATAATTCCTCGAGAGGAGGAAAACACTGATATTCGAACAGACAAAGATACACTTCCAAAAATAATAATAATAAAACAGAAGGAGGGAAAAGTTGATCATGGTACATATACATAATTTACGAACTAAACACTGGGCCCCCAACCTTAATTGCCACAAATTGATTAGATATTTTGTTCTGGAACCTGTCGGAAATTCAAATTACATAAGAGAGAGCCCATTTCCTTTCACCTTTCCATAATTATGGTAGGCATTTTGTTAAGATTATGTAATCTCAGACAAAATATCTGCAAGAACTGTTTTGAATTTACAACAATATAATGCTTATAATTCTAATAAATGTAATGGTTAAATTTATAAATTATGATATGATAAGAATTTATTAATTGAATACTTAAGTTAATTAATGAAGGAAAATGTCGATTTGCACGAAAATAAACAACATAAAAAGACAAGGTTTATGATTAATCAATATTTTACATTTATTAGTCTGTTTGTCGTTAAACATACACGATGATTTGCTGTTTCCTTAATTTGTGTAGATCAACTTTTGTAGCAAGTGGTAGTTCACTTTAAACAAACTTTGGTAAAAAAGAGGATTTATAAGTCATAGATATTTTATGTTGACAGACTTTGATGATTTTGGCGAAGCAAGGTTTGGTTTGCAGTGAATGATGAAATGCAGGGGTTCATAGTTCTTAATGAGGTAATAAATCAAAGGCGCGTTTGAAAGTGATTTATGCACGTACACACTCTCAATCAAGACAAGAGCAAACCTAAAAGAAATTGTGGTTGTACGGTCTCATAGTACTGTTATTGGCTGGTAACTATGAAAAAGAAGGGAGGGAGGGACCCCAAAAGAGTAACATGGACTGACTTTTTCTTGCGTAGTATAGTATCATCCATGTGCTTGCCCAACCGTTCCTCAGAAACCATCGTGCATGTTATCAACGAACCAAATGTAAATTCAAATGTCTTCCCATGTTAAAGAATTCTTTTATACTAGGTTATGTCCCTTTTTTGCTTAGAGGGTTAAATTTGCAACTATTTTATTTCAAATCAAGGATGCATGAGTAGGCTTTTACTTTATATTTTGATAAGACTCAAATCCAAAATTTGAATGGTGTTGTTAAAGAATGTGACCATAAAAGATGTGGTTATTTGGTTTGGGTTTGAAGAGTGTATATTATACATCTGCAGGTAGACATGTGATGGAAAGGGGGAAAAAGAAGATGGGAAGGGCCAAAAAGAGAATAACGATGATGATTGGTAGAATTTGAAATATCAAAAAGAAATGGGGAAGATGGTTGGTTAGAGAGGGAAAGA